TCTCTTGAGCACCTCCAATTTCACATGAAGGATATATGTTTTACCTCACTAAAGAAGATGTGGCCACCCTAGAACTGCCATCCTCAACAGGGGACGGAGATCACGGTTTGCTCCAACTGTTTCCACTTCTTTTTGGTAACCGAGTTCTACAAAAGGATAATGGGCTTCAGTGATCACCTTAACTCTAAAAGAAGGCCTATACGAGAAACGTGCTTACCATTAACATGATGACGTACTCCTTCCACTTTTGATTTATTTGTTTTGTTTCTCAGTGTAAGTTGAACATTTATGTTCCTCTTCAATTTCTTCCAAAGGTTCTGTTTAATTTTACTTTTAGAATAAATTGTTAGACTTTGTTTTCAAATAAATTTTTATGAAAAATATTCTCATAGCTATTATCTCTGATCCTAAAATAATAAAATTTGTCAAACAAAAAAATAAGATCTATGACTCAAGAATTTTAAAATAATTTCCAAATGTCCACCATTTAACCCTAATGCCATCACATTGATATCATAATAGACCATTCTCATAAACAAAACACAATAAAAATATTCATTACAAACCAAGAAATAATTTAAAAATTTTAAATATTACAAATATCCAATAATCCGCGCGCAGCGCGGACGGACCACTAGTATATATATATTGTTGAATGGCGACTAGCTAACAAGAAGTCATGTTATGTATGTAGCCTAGTGGCTTTTTATTAGTGCAATCGTTATATCCCATCTGAATTTAAATTTGCTAGAAGACATGTTACAAGTTTTTTCTTAATGATATTAATATAAAACTGCTTTTCTATATTTTTTTCGAGTGGGCATAAACTCAGAAGAATGCGTAATTCTATATCCTTTTAGTATACTAATTGTACATATAGCAACATTATGTTTTAAATTTTAAAATTACGATAACGAGATGTGTATTGGTACTCCAGAACAAGTCGATAATTTGAAGCAGTTAAATCATACAAACTACTTTTGCTATCAGACTTATTCAGTTTTAGGCAAAATATTAGAGTGAATTGATTTAAAACCTAAAGAAATTGATAAAATTAGCAACCTATCTTTGATGTGACAAGTTAGGTGACTATGAACAAAAGTATCAAAATATGAAATTTAGGGTATATAATTAATTATGGGATTTTGTGTGTGTATTGAGTGCAAATACACAAAATACCTTCGTTTCTGAAAATAAAATTTTCTAGACTATGAGATTTAGGGTATATAGCTAATTATGAGATTTTACAGAAACTTATAGCGCTTAGATACCCATATAAACATCAACTTTAGAGCATCTCCAAAAAGACTCTCTATTTTAAAGTTTCCAAAACTCTATATTTGAAGTTTCAAGGTGTTCTTCTCCAAAAGAAAAACTTCAAATTTAACTTCAAAATTATTTCTATTTTACATTTTGATCCTTATATTTGTCATAGTGAATATAAATTCATAAAACATTGATAAATAACATACACACACACATATATATATATATATATATATAAATTATACAAGAATATTAATTAATAAAATCTTACACTAAAATATAAAATTATAAATACAAATACATGATTATTACAAATAGAATACCACATTTTTGTTGTCTAATTTTAATTTTAAAATATTTAAAAATACTAAACTATAAGCAACTATTTTAAAATTTATTATAAAATTTTATTTAGTTTTATGTCTAAACTTAAATTTATAAAAGGTAAATTTTAATTTGAAATATTTATGAGATTTAAAAAAAAATTATGGACTAAAACAATAAACAAAAAAAATATTTATAAATTCTAATTTTTATTTGTAATTGTAAGGACCAAAATGCAATTAAAAAGATGAAACTTCAAATTTAGAGTTTTGAGTATTGAAACTTCAAATATAGAGTTTCACTCTTAAAAACTTCAAATTTGAAGTTTTAAGGTTTCTTTTTGGAGAGCAAAAAACTCTATATTTGAAGTTATAGAGTTTCTTTTGGAGATGCTCTTATAACTGTCAACATTGTTTCTTTCTCTAATTTTGAAATCTGACATAATGTTTCTTTATCCAATTCCAAATCTGACATAGTGTATTTTGTGTTGTGTTATATCATAACTATAAGTTGTTAAAGAAAGGCAATTATAACTGTGTCATTTTGTAGTTTTAGCTAAAACTAAGAAAAAGTTCTATGATATGATTGGCTATTACATGTGTTATTTAAGAATAGTACTTGATTGGTAGATTTCCACCGAATATTCCATGTCTGAATGTGTGTGTATTAACTCGAGTCAACTAAAAAAAAGAAGCTAATAACGCACAACCAACAACAAAAGTCAACAGAAAACAAATATCCGAAAATCAATCGACACGTTTAGTTACTTTGCCGTTCCCACGATTCGTCGGAGAGATCTCATCACTACTTAGAGCATGATTATCCCTAGAAACACATAAGGTTTCTTAAGTACACTTTAATGATTATTTAACTAATAAATGTTAGCTAAGGATTTTAGTTAAGAATCACCTAATTTTCAACATACAATGGTAGTTTCTTAATTTAAGTTTCTTAAAAATTTTTTTTTTAACTATATAACAATTTGCTACCTTACATATAAGCTTGAACAACAAGTACACAACGTTCTCATTACTAATATGTTTCACACCCAAACAACAAGCAAAGCCAAGAACTTGCAATAAAAGGAAAAGGGATTTTGATTTATAACCTTCTTCCTGCATAAGTTGAAGGAAGAGTAAGACACCTAGCACACTGCTTAAAAGTGGCTATAATCTTCTTTCCTTTAGCAGTTCTCCTCTCAGTGTTCTCCACAGCATCAAGCTCATGCTTCCACTCAATTAACAGCTAAATACACACACAACAATGTTACAAATTGCTCAGCTTNACTAACAGAGACTCAAAAAGGCTTCTAGCAATCTTATTCATAAAGAGGAACAACTAACAAATATTACCTTCTAATTTCTTCACAAAGAACATTCTAGTAACTGAAGAAGCTAATACTATGAGCATAAGAAGAACCAGCAGTGGTCTATAGGACAGAGTTTCAGCTTATGGGAGAAGCAAAGCAGAAATCTGTATGTACTTTTTTCAAGAAGCTCAATCTGTAAAGCAAACCAATTTTTCTACAAATAATGAAAGAGGAGGGGCTACAAGTGCATACAGAAACAAACAACAGATGAGGCAAGATAAAAAAAAAAACACACACAGATGAGGTAATACCGTAAACATGTTTGCTGCGAAAGCATTCACACCACGCAATAACTCTTGCTTCTCCCTCATTCTTCTCCCTCATTCTTCTCCCTCCTCTTCTTGTGAACATATGATCTCTGCAGCAGATCAATAAAAACACTGAAAATCAGATCCCCAACTGTTCAAACTCCCAACACTAGTTAAAATGGTCGCAATTCAGACAAATAAAACTCTCTAAAGTCCCAACATTGTGTCTGAAAAAAAAAAATAGACAAACCCCAAACTCCAAAATAATTTGCTTCCTATGGATGTCTCGAGCTTGATACCTTTCCAGACAACGGTGATAAAAAGAAACGTTTCAAGTCATTGTGCTATGTTCATCACAACACACAGCAAGAAATAAAAGTTAAATTGCAAGAAAAGGCACAAACTTTGAATTCTTCTAAAAAAAAGTCTCCAGAAATTACATAAAAGAGAAGCGAATTATTGAGGTTACCTTGTGGATGAGGTTAAGATTGAACCAGACTTCGTTGATGTGAGGGAGAATTGGATTGATAAACGCCGGTTTGAGATAGATTGATAAACTGCCGTTACCGGCAATTTCCACGGCAGTCTGTAGTACGCAGCAACGGTGGTGAGCATCAGAAGCGAAAAGTATTCCTCTGCTTGCTCTTTTTCTCCCTTCAACAAAATACGACACGGAGAACGCGAGAGAAGAAGAGAGAAAGGAGAGAAAAAAAAAAAGAGAAAAAATTATAATTCACAATTTGTTGACACGTGTATTAAGAACTCTCGTAAAGATCGGTTGCCAAAACCTCTATTAAGGATCGGTTATCTAATTTTTGTTTTTGTTTTGATTTAATTAAATGTTTTATTATGCTAAAAACCCACTAAGAACCTAGCGATAAAGATGGTCTTAGTACTTGTCGGCCCGAACCTAATGGCATCAACAGTAAATTAACAACTGTTTTCTTTGTTGAAAATTTTAAGTTGAAAAGAATTGGAAATTGCCTGAAAACAAGAGCCGTTGACTTATCCATTTTATCATATTTGGGGTAAATGAATCAACGGACGCGATCAAACTGTATCAACTTGTTTCTTTTGTTGATTAGGATAATTAATATGGAAAGTACTCAGTTTCTTACATAACAAAAAGTTCTTCTAGTTATCCATATGTCTGATTTATAATATAATTAAACTTCTAGTAAGGTACTAGATTAAATATTTAACTTTGGAATGTTATTTTTATGACTTTAAATTTTATGATAAACATTTGTTATTGGTTTCAGTTAAAACCAAGTGTTATTTATTCATATATTTACTACTAATATATATGATTTCTCACAATAAATATCTGTGGATTTGAAACTATTTATTTGATGGAAATATAAAGTTTACATCTCAAAACAATTCTCCAGATTTACTAATAATAAAAATCTGAAATTACATCCTTTAATTTAAATTTAGAGACATTTGATTTCTCACAATAAGTATCTATGGATTTGAAACTATTTATTTGATAGAAATATAAAATTTACATCTAAAAAACAATTCAACAGATTTACTAATAATTAAAATCTGAAATTACATCCTATAATTTTAATTTAGAGATACTGAATCCCAAGTGGGATTTTTAAATATAAAAATGGCTTCACGTTTCCAAAATTAATAAAGACAAAGTTGAAAAGAAATGTCCACGTCAGAAATTATTAAAAAAATGCCAACTTTATTTCTCGTTCACATTTGACACTTCGACACACATATAAATACCGTCGTGTGTGTCCTTGAGAATTTACACACGAAAGTTAGTTACCACAACCATGGAGAAACAGAGCATCCCAAACACTTCTTCTTGGTCTCGAGGCACTTGTATCGGAAGAGGATGTTTCGGAACAGTAAACAAAGCCGTGAGTAAAATCAACGGTGGAGTCTTCGCAGTGAAGTCAGTAGATATCGCCACGTGTCTCCCCGCTCAATCCCAATCCCTCGAGAACGAAATCACAATCCTCCGCTCTCTCGAGCCCCACCCGCACATCGTGACGTTCCTCGGAGACGACGCGTCTAAAGAGGGAACGTCGTCGTTTCGTAACCTCCACTTGGAGTATTCACCCGAAGGTGACGTGGCAAACGGTGGAATCATCGTCAAGGAAACTCTCCTCCGCCGTTACGTTTTCTGTCTCGTCTCCGCTCTCCGTCACGTCCACTCCAACGGAATCGCTCACTGCGACGTGAAGTCGAAGAACGTCCTCGTCGCTGACGGCGGAAGCTCCGTGAAGCTTGCGGACTTCGGGTCGGCGATGGAGTTAGAGAAACCAACGGATGAGATTTTGCCGCGTGGCAGTCCGCTCTGGATGGCTCCGGAGGTTGTTAGGAGAGAGTATCAAGGACCGGAGAGCGACGTGTGGTCTCTAGGCTGCACGGTCGTCGAGATGCTCACCGGGAAACCGGCGTGGGAAGATAACGGTTTCGACTCGCTGAGTCGAATCGGGTTTTCGAACGAGTTGCCGTTTATTCCGGCGGCGGTTTCGGAGCTCGGTCGTGATTTCTTGGAGAAATGCCTGAGAAGAGATCGGAGGCTGAGGTGGAGCTGTGATCAGCTTCTGGAGCATCCGTTTATATGTCAAGGTCATGACTCGTTTTTGGTTACTGAGTCGTCTCCGCGTTGCGTATTGGACTGGGCCAACTCGGAGTTCGAAGAGGAGGAGGAAGAGGCCAATGTGTCTAGAGATATGGTTTCAGGGGTGGCAAGGATGAGTAATTTAGCGACGACCGGAGGGGTAGTTTGGGAATCAGACGGTTGGATTGAGGTTAGAAGCGAGTTAGCGGCAAAATGCGAATATCCGGTTTCAACAAGGGTAGAATCGGAATTAAACACGTCATTGCAGTCTAGCGATGATCATGTTACACCGTCGGGATATGAAGAGTCGGAGTCGGCGTCGGTGATGACGTGTGAAGTATTGTTGTTGTTGTTATTGGTGGTAGAGACTATTCAGATATATGCCACGTTTTACACCAGTGTTATTAGTATTTGTATGCCATGTTGTTGTTATCATCATCAAGACAATAATATGAAGAAGAAATTGCGGAAAAAAAATCTATCTTTCATTCTCAGCCTTAACTTTTTGTTTGGTATTGCATGTGATTCGGACGGTCGATCTGTTTCTTGAAAGCTCGTTTACGTGGTGTGATGAGTGTCCTAACTCTCAACTGTTACTTCTTTTTGTTGATAACTCTCATCTACACTATCCAATCTTGGTTTGGTAGCTTCTTGGCCATATATATATTTTCTTTTGAAGAGGAACTACGACCATGTAATTAGTATAATTTATGTCTACTAAAAGTAAGTGATTAGGGGTCAATATGAAGTTTTAGCATAACCTTAATTTTGTTGTTGGTGAAGATAAAATTGTTAGGTCAAATAGTCCATTTGAACTACATAAACTTTGATCAATGTTTTAAGAAAACAAAGCATGCAATAAATAAGGTGGAGAAAATGGAAGATGACTATGATGAAGTGGTGGGCACTGTTGGCTTACCAGAACTCCATAAGTTTTCAATTTGCAGAAAGGTATCAACATAAATTATATGCTAGTTTTAAAGAATATCCACATCTTTTAAACATTTTAAATTTTTTCAACTCTTTTTTTTTTGGCAATATTTGCTAATTTGTGGATAATTGTACTTGATAACTATAATGTGTTTTTTTTTTTGTTGCATCTGGTTATTCCACACGAATACTAAATAGTTGTATCTCGATTCTTATGGTTTTGAGATCAATCATCCAAGTTGTCACCTAATTTCGTCCTTTATGTACAATACTACTTAGATTATTTAATCTTTGGCCAAAATCTAGGTGACCAGGGTAGCCGAGTAACCTTTTTTCTTTTAAGATCTTGCAAGTAAAATATCAAAAAGAACCATGTAAAAAGTCTGACAAAGCTTCGTAGTCGAAATTTGGATTTATCTCAAAGGACCCAAACAATCAAAAATGTTGAATTAAATTTGTATTATTGTATACTGCATTTTGTCAAAAAAAGACTTGTATTATTATTATTGCACATGAAAGATTTGACGGCTGGCAAAACTGCGCTTTTAAACTAGTTGTAACGGTGTTAAAAGAACTAGTTGTAAGGAAACTATACAGTGAAGAAGTGTAAAATAGTTTTTGAGAGGCTAATCGAATGACTTTTGCTTCATGGAAAAATTTGGAAACATCCTTAACTAAAGATGATATGCATTTGAAATAACAACATGCTCAAAGACAGTTTTAGACATGGCAAATGTCAAGTGCTTATGACTTGGTAAAGTATCTGCATTCAAAGTACCTGGAATCAATTCAAACTGTGAAGTATCACCGAATCAGATCCGAGAAATACTCGAGCTAGTCCTGTATATTGCTATATTGGAAGGTTGACAAATTGTTGTTCAAAAAAAAAAAAAAAAAGGAAGGTTGACAAATATTTTCATACAAAATTGGATAGTTTGAATATAAACTTAAACGAAACCCAACCCAAAAATAGATTCGGAATGGGCCTGTTCCTCTGGAATCGAAGTATCCGAAACCTGAAAAACCCCAGCCCGAATAGCCGACCAAGAAGTAATCAACACCCGGTTTCCAATTGAACCACACGGTTTAGAGCCCGGACCACGGTTTGGAGGATTACTTTGTTTTTTTTTTTTAATAATTGCTTCCCCCTAACGTTTTCTTCTCACTCGATTTTCTCTCCGGCGTCTCTCACTCGATCGACCGTGCATTAAGGTACGCTCTCTCCCTCTTCCCTGAGTTATTTTTCTCCGCATTGTACTGTTCGAGATTGTGATTGATCTGACCTCTCGTGATCCGTCTAATTGAACCGCATTTCTCTCAAAATATTGGATCCAGTTCTGTTCTGGATTCGATTTCTTTTGCTTCGATAAGTTTCGTGCCCTCATGATCCACGTCATGTCGAAATTGTTCTATTCATTGTCCAATCTCTTTTCAGTTTTTTTTTTCTTTTTTTTTCTTCTGTTGTTGTGCGTAATTCGCCACTGCGACACGTTGAAATTGTTATATTCATGATCATATTAGATCTTTCTTGATTTATTATCGAATTTGCTTCCTTACATGTTGGGGTTGGATATGATCCTCGTTAATAATATGAAACATCAACTTGAAATATGTTATTATACTTCACTGCCATTCAATTCCATTGGCAAAACATTACAAGGTACTCTATGGAATATGGTTTGTTAGCCTTTATGTCTGTCATGGTCAGGGCCAGGCCTGAGATTTTGGGACTATTCTAATAATTTTTTTCTTTTTTTTTTTTACAATTTTGGGGCCTATGTCTACATAATGTTCTTCAAAAAAATTTGGTGTCATAAGAGAATGTTTTATTTGGCTTTGTTCATATACGGCCCTGGTCATGTTTTTTTTAGTAGGACAAGCGGATACACACTTGGTAGTTAACAGATTTTTCCTGTTACAAAATGTGTTTGTTTGTGAATTATCTTACCTCTGGTGTATTGTATCCTATATGTATGAGCCTCCAAGCTTAAGCTTTTACATCGTATGTACTGTGAACTGTGTGTTTACGTGGTGTGTTGCTCTCTGTAATGTGTTCTTATTCAACAAGCTTACTTTTAAGAAGCAGGGAAAGTCATTCTAGAAACATGCCGGGTCAAAAGATTGAAACGGGTCATGAGGACATGATCCATGACGTCCAAATGGATTACTACGGAAAGAAAGTTGCAACTGCCTCATCTGACTGCACCATCAAGATAACCGCCGTCACCACCAACAACGACGGTGGAGGATCACAGCACCTAGCTACACTAACCGGCCACCGTGGTCCCGTCTGGCAGGTCGCGTGGGCCCACCCCAAGTTCGGATCAATCCTAGCCTCATGCTCCTACGACGGTCAAGTCATTCTCTGGAAAGAAGGCAACCAAAACCAATGGACTCAAGCACACGTCTTCACAGACCACAAATCTTCTGTCAACTCCATCGTTTGGGCTCCTTATGAGCTCGGACTCTCCTTGGCTTGCGGGTCATCAGATGGGAACATTTCGGTGTTCACGGGACGTGCTGATGGTGGCTGGGACACGACCAAGATTGAGCAAGCTCACCCGGTTGGTGTCACTTCTGTCTCGTGGGCTCCATCCACTTCCCCTGGTGCTCTTGTCAGCTCTGGGTTGCGTGATCCGGTTTACAAGCTGGCTTCTGGTGGGTGTGATAATACTGTGAAAGTGTGGAAGCTCTCTGACGGGTCGTGGAAGATGGATTGCTTCCCGGCTCTGCAGATGCATACTGATTGGGTCCGTGATGTGGCTTGGGCGCCCAACTTGGGTCTCCCTAAGTCGACCATTGCTAGTGGCTCACAGGATGGGAAAGTGATTATCTGGACGGTGGGGAAAGAAGGTGAGCAGTGGGAAGGTAAGGTTCTCAAGGACTTTATGACTCCGGTGTGGCGTGTCTCGTGGTCGTTGACAGGTAACATGTTGGCTGTGTCCGATGGGAATAATAATGTGACGGTGTGGAAAGAGGCGGTTGATGGAGAGTGGGAACAAGTCACCGGTCTTGAGCCGTAGGTGTTTTAAAATCTTTTGTTCAGACAGGTTTGGTGGTCTTCTGAGGGAATGTGGATGTGGTTTTCTTAATTTTGGTTCGTAACATCTGGACTTTATTCTTTTCTAGACTCATTGTTTTTTTAAAAACTTCTATAAACCACATTTTCATGAAACTTAAATTGATTACTTAAATCTTTCTACATATGATGTTGGGCATGTTCTTTTATTAGTTGCTGCGATCTGAGACCCTAACCATAAGTTGCAGCCTGTCGTCTGTTTAAATTGTGTTTTCCCCTTTACTTTCTCAGAGGAATACGACTTGGAAAACATAAAAAAGAAGAACAACAACATTTGAGATTACATGTCCCTCTGTACTAACTTCGGAGTTATTATGGGCCCTTCAACTGCCCATTATAGCTGACCCCAATCTTTTGTCATGAACCTCTTCTTCCTAACCAATTAGTTTGAACTTTAAGCCCAATGAGGATCATCAATTTGTGTCTGCACTAAAGCAAAAACGTAATATGAAGTAATATTCGACCAATATATAATGTAATGGTGTCTCCACATAAACAATTAGACCATTACATATTACCAATGTAAAAACAAGATTTTGCGACTAATCTTCTGATGTATGATTGACATTGTAAAAACGATCGCAACTTAATATATATAAATAGTGTGTAGCATACGTGAATTTTGGTATTTCTCCAGTCCACCTATATTTACATCATATATATAGCTTAAAGTTATTAAAGAACGCACTTATTATCAGTTGAAGTCTAAAACTAAAATCAAACGAGAAAAATGAACCAATAATTGCTTCGAATTGCGCAGAAAGGAGGGTCATATAAAGTACACTCAGCTTCCTTGTTCGGCAAGAGTACATCAACACCTAACTGTGGTCTGTATTATCCTTCTAGGGTATTCAGATTATGACTATTGATTTGAAACTTCCCATACAAACAAAAGTGGGTGACTGGGTGAAAATTATTGGTTTATGTCTATTGGTTGATCATCATCTCCTTAGATATGTTATCAAGACAGTAAGATTGTATTAGATGGCTAGCTAACGAAGTTGACATGTTCCTAACATTAAAGTAAACTATATAGTTATTAGTTATAACTAATTTATAACATAAAAACAAATGAAGATTTCTCCTATTCATAGGTATATGCGGAGTTACCCCAGGAAACGAAAATATGAAGGAAATTTTGTTTGATTTGATTTTGGTTAGAAGAATATTCTACGACTCAACTATGACATATCTTCAGCTAACGAGTCGGATAAAGTATATATGGATATGATATTAATGCTTTAAAGAACAGATTAGCGACTCTTAAGTCTTTACAGAATACAGAGTAGCTTAGGTTACAGCATGTTTGATGACTGTACTTTCCAATTGCATTAAGCATGTCCACGTTTTGTCAAGTCTACAATTTCAAATGAGAATAAACTTACTGAGATTCAATCCCATCCACGTTTGATCTTTGGGACATCACGACATGCATGTAATTCAACTTCAATAAATTCATGATGTCATTAAAAATACAGACATTTTACTTATATTTATCGATATCTTCATGCATATGTTATTGGGTCGTCGCTGGAAAATAAAAATTTAAGCAATTAATGTACGATAATGACGTCAAATAAAAAAACGATTGATAATACTATTGGGATTTGGTTTACTCATCTACTAGCATGCACTAAATTTGGGTGTACGTATGAACATGTTTTTAAATACCAATGCATATTGGCATTAAAAGAAAACAAAAACTTCAACAAAGTTTCGACCACTCAAGCGGTAAGACTACGAATGTAAATGTTTATAAAATCTGTACGAGCCATATGAAGATCACATGGAGTAATACGACTTATCAGGAAATGGTTACATCTATCTTGAAATTAGAGGACGGTCCATCAATAAAAAAACTGGTTTGAAACCTAATAAAAAGGGGACATGAAGGAACACATAACCGGCACGACCAAATCTCCTTCGTATAAATTCCATACAATATTTGACTATTGAGATATCTACATTATAAATTTGTGATTACCAACTGATGCAAAACAAAATTTTATTCATCAAATAAAACACATTGAAATGACTATTCTTTAACTATTTTGTAACTCTCAGACTAGATAGGAAGGATGCCAAGGACAACAAATGGTGGCACCTACTTGAGGAAATCTTTTTAGATTGAATGAGAACGATGATTTACCTAAAGATCATAACCTTATCATACACACTAGTTCTCGAAATAAAAACCAAAACGAACAATTAACCGTATGTTGGGTCCATTTCTTTCGCTATGTCATGCGCCAAACAAAAGACAAGAAACTCAAATCACGCATGTCTTGGATTCATATAGTAATGACTGTAACGTTTTGTAAGTTGATTGTTTTATTGTGGGTTGTTTATAGATGACCGTTGAATTCGCACGGTTTGACAGTAGCTGGGCATTATTTGATTGAAGACATCCCTTGGCGATGCGATTTCTTAGATGTAGTCTCAAGTTTAGGTTTGGGTTCAATATATTAGGGAAACAAGATAAGCAACACAAATAAATGAGAAGATTTTCAAGCAGAAATAACATAATTTCACTAAACAGTGATGGAGTTGCATCATTAATATCCAATAATTAATCCTTTTTATGTTTTTTTTTGAAAAAAGACCTATCATTATAATCTTTAATCTTACGAAATAGCTAAATAGTTTCGCATATATGGGTATTTGGTGTGTTATGAGCCAAATATGTTATCAATTTCCCTAGCTAGCTTAGCTACACATCTCTTGGATCCACGAAGAGTGGTCGCGATTTTAATTTCCACAACATATCGTTAAATTCACCCAAGCCAGTCATCTTTCCTTCACATTTCATCGGTTTGATGCACCATGTATCATCGTCACACGAAAGCATTTTCCAATGCGGAACACATCTCATAAGAGAATCATCACCACCACCATTACTTTCTCCGTTGACTTCTACCACCAGGACCTTACACGCGCCACCCTCATCTGAGGCAGCCATGTTGTTAACGTGGTCGCACAAAGCCCTAACGAGATTCCCACATAACGGACCTTCCCCGTGAACACCGTAAAGGAAATAGAAACCAAACGGAGTAAACAGATCAGGTAATGCCGTTAAGCCCAAGAACGGTAAGCAGCTACCGAGAACGTTGCAAACTTTGGTGAGAAGCAGATAGCTCAAAGGAGCTTTCCCGATCCTAAGTTTGAAGACTTTGCTACTGTTCCATACACTAAGAACGGCCAAACTCCTGACGTTGTCGTTGTTGTTGTAATAAGCCACCCATGTCCCCATGCTTAAATTGTTTTGCAAGATTTCGTCTATGTCGTCCGGGAAAAAATCTGTCGTTGGTGCAACGTGTGTCCGGTACCATGATGCAGCTTCTTCCACCTGATAACACCCGAAAGTAATTGATATCAGTGTTAATCTTCTCCGTGTGAGCCTACTTAATTAATGCTAACATATAAGGGATGAAATTGTATTTATATATATGTATTTTGCAACTCAACTTGACCAACGTAAATTAATATTCCTAGGTTTTTCGTTATGTTAAGCCAATTGATGTTTTTGCATGTGATATATTTCATGACGACAGTTCTTAGTGTTTAGATATTCTCATTTCAGAAGAAGCTTACTGTATAATATAAAGGGTTCTAAATTTTACAAATATCGGTTTTAATTTCTAATGGTATAGCTAGTTAAAATTTTCTGAAATATTTCACATAAGTATCCTTTTAATAAACAAATGAATGGTTAGTAAAATCACCTCTAGCTTCCTTATATCGATATCAGAAGGCAATTTCAAACCTTGACTGGGGTTTACTGGATTGACCAGAATTGCTGGGTTTCTGAAGACGGTATAGCCAAGTGTTCCGACGAATAGACCGAGAGAGGCCTCATTGTCCTTTTCGGTGGCCATGTAAGCATAATCAACATTACGAGACACGAACCATTCCTCAAGCTTTCTCACTAGAATCGAACCAATGCCACAGCGTCGATAAGGCGGCACGACTCTGAGACCAAGAACGTAACCTACATTCACTGACTTATCATGAAACTTAACTGGCTTTACTGAACCTTGTATGCAACCAACCAGCTTTGTCCCAACTTCCGCCACCTATTAAATAAGGTACATTAATTTTTGATAATTTATATAAATCCAAATGCTTAATTAATTGTTTGGCTTTGTGTTAACATAAAAAGTACGAGGAAGGTGTTACATTTTGGTTCGCCACCATAATTAATATATAACAATTATTGTTGTTGTTTGAATACAATTTCACTTTAAGTTACATCTTTAGTTATTCTAAGGAGCAATATATAACTTAATCTCTCCATTTTAATATAACTCATTTAATAAAAACTATAAATAATCTAAAATATTAACTTTAAAATAATAGTTTTTAGATATATATATAATACCAAAATTAAAAAAAATAATATGAATTTAAAATCCAATAACATAGGTTACGGGTAAAATTTTACCCGTAACCTATGTTATTGGATTTTAAATTCATCCTTTTTTCTGTATCAAATTTTACTGTTTCATATAGACAAAAGACAGAACTATCTCTATACCAAGAATAGAGAAGAATAAAAAATTTGAGAGAGCAAGGTAGAGAGAAATTAACCAGCATGGTGAAGAGAGGAGTATTCCGAATTCTGCAAATGGGATCGCCTAAAGTATCTGTGAAGAGAAAAGTTTGGTCGTTACCAATCTCACAACTTTTCTCCATACATTCCATTTGTATTCTGTCCCTGAGATCATTGTAGCATCTAACCACCACCTTTTTATCATCTTCTTTCCCCCATTGCCCCACCATTTTCACTCCCTCTCTCTCTATAAAATGAAATGAAAAGATCAGCTATCAGCAACTCAAGGAGAATACCCAGCTTATGTTATATTTCAGAATACTATAGAGCTTCAAAACTTATGGTTTATCTAATTAATGATTTGTCCATATATAAGAAATGTTGTAATGAGAATTAACCCAATCACGCTGTTCCACAACTTTTGTCTTCTGGCTATGACCTACAAATGCTATTATTATTTTTTTATATAAAAGACATATATGCTATTACATGAAACCAAGATTTCATATCTACTAAGTTTAGAAATACATCAAATCTCTTACATAT